TAGACATGAAAGTGGAGGCATTATGACACACCATAGAAGAATAAAAAGTACTACAAACAAGTACTGCAAAAAAATAGTACCAGCAACACAAAGAAATGAACAAATTCCTAGAAATATACAAATTACAAAAACTGCCTTAAGAAGAAATAGAAAATCAGATAACTAATAGGAAGTAAAACCTTTCTATAACCTTAAAAACCTGTAGTAAAATTACTGTAACTTACAGATCCTACTTATAAACCTATAAACTATCAGTAAAACTTTACAATAAACTTTAGTATAGTAAAACTTACTATAACCTTTTAAACTTACTTATAGTAAAACCTATAACTAGTTAGGAGTAAATCAGTAATCAAAAACTCTCAACAAAGAAGAATTCAGTTGACACGGTTTGGCTGTGTCCCCACCCAAATCTCATCTTGAATTTTAGCTCCCATAATTCCCCCATGTCGTGGGAGAGATCTGATGGGAGGCAACTGAATCAAGAGGGTAGGTCTTTCCGGTGTTGTTCTCATGATAGTGAATAAGTCTCACGAGGTGTGATGGTTTTATAAAGGGAGCTCCCCTGCACAAGCTCTCTTGCCTGCCTCCACGTGAGACATGACTTTGCTCCTCATTTGCCTTCTGCCATGACTGTGAGGCTGCCCCAGCCATACCGAACTATGAGTCAATTAAACCTCTCTCCTTTATAAATTACCCAGTCTCAGGTATCTCTTTACTAGGAGCATGAAACAGACTAATACAAGGACAAAATGGCTTCATTTTGTGAATTGAATTCTACAAAACATTTGAAGATTAATAACAATCCTTCTGAAATTCTTCATAAAAACAGAAAAAGCATCTATTTAGCATTTATTTAAATGGAAAGATATCCTATGTTCACAGAAGACTTAATATTGTTAATATGGCAAGACTACCAAAAGCAATCTACATACTGAATGCAATCGCTATCAAATTTCAAAGAGATACTTTCCAGAAATGGAAAAGTGAATCCTCAAATTCATAAGCTCTTGCAAGCAACCCTTAAACAGCTAAAACATTCTTGAAAGAGTAGAACAAAATAAGGAAGACACTTCCCAATTTCAAAACTTACTAAAAATCTGCAGTCATCAAAACAGTACAATATTGGTATAATAATAATCACAGTGAAAGTCTAGAATAAAAATGAGATAGAATTGAAGTCCAAAAATAAAGTCATACATCTATGGCTAATTGATTTTCAACAATGGTACCAGGAGTGTTCATTGAGGAAAGAACAGTGTCTTCAACAAGTGTGAGGGGACACCGGGATATCCACATGCAAATTAAATGAGTTGTACCGATGCCTTATGCCATTTACAAAAATTAACTCGACACAGGTCATAAACTTATATGTAAGAGACAGAAGTATAAAACTGTTAGAAGAAAATATTGGAGTAGACTTTCACAACCTTGGCTTAGGTGAACCTTCTGAGATAAGACATCAAAAGTATGAACAACAAAATATAAAACCAGATAAAGTGAGCTTCAAAAGTAAAAACTTTTGTACATCAAAGAACAGTGTCAATGAAGTGAAACAACAAAATAAAGAATAGAAAGAAATATTTGCAATCATGTACCTGGTGAAGGTTTAGTATCCAGAATACAAAAGAATTCTTATAACTCAACAACAAATGAAAAATATTTAAAAATAGACCCAATGAACTTACACAAAGGGCCAATATCCACATGAAAAGATGCTCAACATCATTAGTCATTAAAGAAATTCAAATCAAAACCACAATATGATACTATACTTAACACCCATAAGGATGGCTACACTTTAAAATAAAAATTAAAAAAAAACAAAAAAAACCCAAAAAAACCCAGAAAATAACAAGTGTTGGAATGCTTCGGAAAACTATGAATCCATGTATATTGCTGGTGGGATTGTAAAATGATGCAGACCACACCTAACTCACATCTAATATAATGGTGAAAGGATGAACACTTCCTTCTAAGAACAGAAACAAGAAGAGAAGCCCACTCTCATCATTTATATTTAAAATACTACTGGAGGTTCTAGCCAGGGCAATTAGGCAAGAAAATAAAAGAAAGGGCATCCACACTGGAATGGAAGAAGTAAAACTATATTTGCAGATTATACGATCATGTATATAAAAAATCCTAAGGAATCAACTAAAAAAAACTCGTGGAACTAATGAAACAAGTTCATCAAGGCTGCAGGGTACAAGTGCAGTATACAAAACTCAATTGTATGTCTATACACATATAATAATCCAAAGTGAAATTAAGGAAACAATTCTTTTATAATACTATCAAAAACAATAAAATACTTGCAAATAAATTTAACATAAGAGGTGTGCTGTATCTGAAAACTACAAAACATTGTTCAAATTTTTAAAATATCTAAATAAATGAAAAGACATCCAATGTGCATGGATTGGAAGACTTAATATTGTTTAGATGAGTAGTTGAATAATTTGTGCTGAATAATTTGTTCAGTACACCCAAAACTGATCCACAAAATTCAATGCAATCTTTATCAAATCTAAGCTTATATTTTTGCAGAAATGGACAACAATCTTAAAATTTATACAGAAGTTTAAGGAAATCAGGACAGCTAAAACAAAAAATACTGGAAGAGTCATACTTCCTGATTACAAGTTCTACTATAAAGCCACCATAATTAAGACAGCAGGGTACCGACATAAGGCTAGACATATAGATCAATGGGATTAGAATTAAGAGTCTAGAAATAAATCCTTACATTTATGATCAACTCATAAATTTTGACAAGGCTGCCAAGATCATTCAATGGGGAAAGAATAGTTTTTTCAACAAATGGTGCTAGGACAACTGAATAATCTCATGAAAAAGAATGAAGCTGAACCCCCCCCACCTCACACCATCCAATAACATTAACTCAAAATGGATCATAACCCTACATTTGAGAGGAAATAGTATAAAATTCTTACAAGAATATATAGGAGTATATATTTGTACCACTGGAGTAGGCAAAGATTTCTGAGGTATAATGAAAAGCATGTGTAAAAAAAGAAAATATAAATTTGACTTCACCATTAAGAAAAATAAAAAGAAAACAGTGGGAGAAAATAACTGAAAATTGTTTATCTAATAAGAGATTTGTATCAATAATATATAAAGAACTCTTGCAACTCAAAAATAAAAAGACAACCCAATATAAAATAGGAAAATAAATTTAATAGACATTTCTCCAAAGAAGACATGCACATGAAGTGGTCAATAAGCACACACACACAAAAAGCTCAAAATCCTTAGCCATCAGGAAAAAGGAAATCAAAACCACAGTGAGATACCATTTTATGCTGTAATCAAAAGAACAGATAATAACAAATACTGATGAAGATATGAAGAAATTGGAAACATCATACACTGTTCATGGAAATGTAAAATGGTGAGGCTGCTTTGGGAAACAGTCTGGAAGTTCCTCAAAAGGTTAAATAGAATTAGCATATGAGACAGCAATTCCACCCCAGGTATACACCCAAGAAATTTAAAACCCACCTCCAAAGAAAATATTACTCATGAGTATTCGTAGCTGCAATACTCAGAATAGCCAAAAAGAAGGAACAATCTAAATATCCTCAACAGTTAAATCGATAAACACAATGTGACATATCCATAATAGAGATTATTCGGCAACAAAAACATGTACTAATTCATGCTACAACAGAATGAACCTTGAAAACATCACGCTAAGTGAAAAAAGCCAAACAGAAAAGACCACATATGTATGACTACATTCATATGAATTGTCCAAAATGGACAAATCCTTTCAAATAGAAAGTAAATTAGTTGTTGCCAGGGGCTGGGTAAGGGGGCACTTGGGAGTGACTGCTAATGGTTACAGGGTTTCTTTGGGAGTTGTTAAAATATTCTGGAATGAGCCAGGCTCGCACCTGTAATTCCAGCACTTCAAGAGGCTGAGGCTGGTGAACTGCTTTGAGCCAACAAGCTCTAGACCAGCCTGGACAACATGGTGAAACCCCATCTCTACAAAAATTCCAAAAATTAGCAAGGTGTTGGTGGCTCACGCCTGTAGTCACGGCTACTCAGGAGGCTGAAGCTGGAGATTAGCCTGAGCCCAGGAAGCAGAGATTGCAGTGAGCCAAGATCCTGACACCATACTCCAGCCTGGGCAACAGAGTGAAACCCTATCTCAAAAAAAATAAATAAAGTTCTGGAATTAGAGACAGTAGTTGATATGGCTTGGCTCTGTGTCCCCACCCAAATCTCACCTTGAATTATACTCCTATAATTCCCATGTGTTGTGGGAGGGACCTGGTGGGAGGTAATCTGAATCATGGGGGTGGCTTCCCCATACTGTTCTCATGGTAGTGAGTAAGTCTCATGAGATCTGATGGTTTTAGCAGGCGTTTCCACTTTTGCATCTTCCTCATTTTCTCTTGCCGCCACCATGGAAGAGGCCTCCCGCCATGATTCTGAGGCCTCCCCAGCCATGTGGAGCTGTTGGCCCAATTAAACCTCTTTTTCTTCCCAGTCTTGGGTATGTCTTCATTAGCAGCATGAAAATGGACTAATACAGTGGTGGTGGTTGTGCAACTTTGTAAATATACCAATGTGAAATTATTATATAATACAGTTGTGAAAAATCAACAAATCATATGCCTTAAATGAATTGCAGGGTATGTGAATTACATCTCAAAGCTATTTAAAAAAAATAAAACTAAACACTCTCAGATAAAAACCACATTGTTAATACTGTTTCTTTTTGTGGGATGTAGTTGCTGATCATTTTTGTATTATTCTTTAATGCCCTGTGTTTCACTGGAATGTGGTTTTCTACTGAATGTGTATTATTTTAACAATTAAAAAAAAACCCTAAGTTTCCTGAAACCACAAAAGGATATATTAAACTATAGTGCTCTTTACAAAAGACTAGGATTGTGACCTAATGTCTAAGAACACAGTGAAGTTTCTTCATATATGATAAAAGAAAATAAATTAATACTTACTTTACTGCTTGCGCTCCTGGTCTTTGCACAATTAAGGTGCTAAATTCTTCTATTACAATATCTATCAGCTCAGGTTTTTGATGATTTTCTCTTAGAACAACAGACATACTTTTCAAGTGGACAAAAAACTTCAAGGCTTCAAACTAAGGTATATTCAGAAGAATAAAATGAAAACATATATATATATATAAACACAACAAATAATCTTATTCTTATAGTACATTCATTTCAAAAACCACCAAATATTTTAAGAACATTTTATCTCTTCAAGAATCATCAAAATAACACCAAAAAAAGAGACAATATTTATCCCTACCTTAGAAATTAAAATAAATGCAATTATAGACCCAGAAAAAAGATCACAGAACAAGTCAGTAACATATATTTTCGAAAGGATTAAAAATAGATATATGTAACATTAAATTCCAAAGCATAAAGTCAGGCGCAGTGGTTCACGCCTATAATCCCAGCATTTTGGGAAGTCGAGGCAGGCGGATTGCTTGAGCTCAGAAGCTGAAAACCAGCCTGAGCAACATGGCAAAACCCTATCTCTATCAAAAAAAAAAAAAAATTAGCCAGCATGATGGCACATGCCTGTGACTCCAGCTATACAAGAGGCTGAGGTGGGAGGATTGCTTGAGGCCAGGTTAAGGCTGGCAGCAGAGATTACACCACTGCAGTCCAGCCTGGGCAACAGAGTGACACCGTCTCTAAATAAATAAATAAATTCTAAGGTATAAGGCAAGAAAACATCTTACTGTTTTTGGCAAAGTTGGATCAACTGCTGTTTCACTATAGCCAATTGCTTCATAGAGTAAAGCTTTTTCTTCAGGTGTCAACATTTCTTCAAGAACTACAAATTATAAAGAAGTGCTTTATGTTCTTAAATAAAAACAATAAAGTTAACACAATTTATCTGCCTTTAATAAACAGCATGTGAAATTTACTTTCTTGAATGCTCTTAAGAAATTATAAACACTGAATGTTTGACTGGGGCTGGCAATTTTACAAGTAATTATCCAAAATATAAACTGCTAAATATGTAAGTTTAGCAACATTAATTTATGATATTTCTATTAAGCAAGAGCTCAAAAATGGCTAACTATATTAGACAATTAATAGCACTGTGCTAATCAACACATTTAGTATAAAAAGTAAGTAGTATTAATATTGTAATTTCCTCCCACGTTATAGATGATAAAACTGAGGTTTAGTGCACTTAAATAACGTGCCAGAGACACACTGCTAATAAGTGATAGATCTAAAACATGTACCTAAGTCTCTAAACCTCCAAAGCTATACTCTTAAGCTGTTAGTTAAAAATCAAAAATCTTTCCAAGAAACAACTTCAATAAAAATTTACAATGGAGACCACTTTGGAATTTTTATTTATTTATTACTGTGCTATATGCATTCACTAAATCTCTGGGCATAAAGCTCTTTTGTAAGCACTAGTAAGATTTTTTAAATTATTTTTCATTTTTAAACTAACATACATTTTCAATGTTTTAATAGTTTTATTTGTAATAACTTTATATATAATTACATAAATATACTTCAATGTCTATTTACTTTAATTAGGCAAAAATGGCAAAACTTTATTTTGACACCCAGTGATTATGCTGTAAAATGAAATGGACATACTTCCAGGTTTAACATCTGGTTGTTGTTCATTAGTATTTTGTTCTGACCAAGACCATAGCCAGCTAAACCACCCTTTATTATCCTCTGGATCTTTTACTCCTTCTTTGTAAATTTTGTATCCAGCTTTCTTTACCTAAAATGAACAAATTTTCAAATAAATGACATATTATCCTTTAGCAACTGAAACAAATATAAGCAAGACATTCTGAGAACTTATCTTCCTGAGCAAAATGAATGTAAACAATATACACATTAACAACAGAACACAGTAACTGCAACATTAGTCAAACATAAGAATTTAGGAGTACCACGTAGTTTTTCCACCATCCTATAAGAAATGATGATTGAAAAAAAATAAATTGGCTTTTAACCTTCATAACTGAATATTTGAAAAGCCCAATTATTTAGAAAGACTTTTTCCCATAGAAAGCTGTCTGATTTAAATGGATGTGCCAAAAAATATTAAATAATTTTCTTACAATACTAAAAATCAAACTGAACCATTTTTTGGAAACAGTATGTTACAGTACAAGATTAATAATATCACATCTGTCATATCTATATGGAATTTAAAATTATTTTTACTAATTGAAAAGCCAAGAATTACCTCAACTTCTGCCTGCTGTCTAGCTATAGTTATATTAAGGACATCCAAGGTTTTTTCCAACTCCTGAAAAATATAAACAAAAATGTGTTAACTTTACAAAAATAACTTTACATAAATAACTTAATAAGCACATAATCTATCAAACTGCTGCACTAAAGAAAAGATATAATAGGAAGCAAACAACAGAACACTCATCAATATAATACATATGTTAAATTCTTGGAAGCAATGCTTGAACACATATCAGCATGGAAATTAGTAAATTAGAGAGTAATATTTTGAAAAATGAAATCATACATATTATGCATAAAAGAGTTCCAAACTCTTCAAGTAATAAACACATATTAAAATATGTACATGCATTGTTTAAAATGATTTTATTTGGGTTTAAACTACAGATAAGGGTAAACATATTAGCGACATTTTCAACTAAAAATATAATTACAAGGCCAAGCACAGTGGCTCATGCCTGTATTCCCAACACTCTGGGAGGCTGAGGCAGGCAAATCACTTGAACCCAGGAGTTCCAGACCAGCCTGGGCAACATGGCAAAACCTCTACAAAACATATAAAAATTAGCTAAACATGGTGGCACATGCCTGTAGTCCCAGCTACGTAGGAGGCTGAGATGAGAGGACAGCTTAAGTCTGAGGGGTCATGGTGCCACTGCACTCCAACCTGGGTGACAAAGTGAGACCCTGTCTCAAAAAAAACTACACATAGATATATAATCATAAATCCTTCATATTACGTGTACAGCCTGTATGTTATCATTAAGATACAGGCATACCTCAGAGATATTGCAGATTCAGTTCCAGACCACCACAGTAAGGCAAGAGTCAGACAAATGTTTTGGTTTTCCAGTGCATATGAAAGTTATGTTCGGCTGGGCGCGGTGGCTCAAGCCTGCAATCTCAGCACTTTGGGAGGCCGAGACGGGTGGATCACGAGGTCAGGAGATCAAGACCATCCTGGCTAACACGGTGAAACCCCGTCTCTATTAAAAAATACAAAAATCTAGCCGGGCGAGGTGACGGGCGCCTGTAGTCTCAGCTACTCGGGAGGCTGAGGCAGGAGAATGGAGTAAACCCGGGAGGTGGAGCTTGCAGTGAGCTGAGATCCAGGAGATTCTGTCTCAGAAAAAAAAAAAAAAAAAAAAAAAGTTATGTTCATACTACATTGTAATCTATTAAGGGTACAATGGCATTGTCTTAAGAAAAAATAAATACCTTAATTTTAAAATACTTTAAAAATTTATTGCTAAATTTTTATTGCTAAAAAATGCTAACAATCATCTGAGCCATCAATAACAATAAGTTGTAATCTTTTGCTGGTGGAGGATCTTGCCTCAATGTTGATAGCTGCTGACTCATCAGGGTGGTGACTGCTGAAGGTTGGGGTGGCTATTACAATTTCTTAACCGAAGTTTGCCCCATCAATTGACTCTTCACAAATGATTTCTCTGTAGCGTACAATGCTGTTTGATAGCATTTTACTTACAGAATCTCCTTCAAAATTGAAGTCAATCCTCTCAAAGCACACCGCTGCTTTATCAACTAATTTTCTGTAAATTTCTAATTGTCATTTCAACAATGTTCGCATCTTCACCAGGAGTATATTTCATCTCAAGAAACCACTTTATTTGTTCTTCTATAAGAAGCAACTCCTCAATGGTTAAAGTTTTATCATGAGTTTGTAGCAATTTAGTCATCTCTTTAGGCTCCACTTCTAGTTCTCTTGGTATTTCCACCACATCTGCGTGACTTTCTCCACTGAAATCTTGAGCCTCTCAAGGTCTTCCATGAGGTTTGGAATCAACTTCCAAACACCTGTCAATGTTCATATTTTGACCTCCACCCATGATTCACAAATATTCTTAATGGCATATAGAATGGCAAATCCTTTCCAGAAGGTTTTCAATTTACTTTGCCCAGATCCATCAGAGGAATGACTACCTATTTCATAAGGCAGCTATCACCTTACAAAATGTACTTCTTAAATAATAAGACTTGAAAATTAAAATTACTCTTCAATCCATTGGTGGCAGAACAGATGTAGTGTTAGCAGGCATGAAAACAACATTCATCTCCTTGTATTTCTCTATCAGAGGTTTGGTGACTAGGTGCATTGTCTATCAGCAATAAGATTTTGAAAAAAATATTTTTTACTGAGCAGTAGGCCTGAGCTTAGGTTTAAAATGTTGTAAACAGATATGGTGTCATCCAGGCTTTGCTGTTCCTTGTATAGAGCATAGGCAGAACAGAGTTAGCATATTCTTAAGGGCCCTAGGATTTTCAGAATGGCAAAGAAGCACTGGCTTCAACCTGAAGTCACTAGCTACATCAGCACCTAGCAAGGGAGTCAGCCTGTCCTTTGAAGCTTTGAGGCCAGGCATTAACTTATTCACTCATGGTATGAGAGTTCAGATGGCATCCTCTCCCAGTAAAAGGCTGTTTCATCTATACTGAAAATCTGTTTAATACAGCCACCTTCATCAACGATCTTAGCTAGATCTTCAGGATCACTTGCTGCAGCTTCTCCATCAGTACTTTTTTCTTCACTTTACACTTTTATGTTATAGAGACAGCTTCTTCCCTTAAACTTCAGGAACCAATCTCTGCTATCTTCAAACTTTTCTTCTGCAGCTTCCTCACCTCTCTCAGTCTTTATGGTATTGAAGAGAATATGTTTAGGGCCTTGCACTGGATAAGGCTTAGAGGAATGCTGTAGCTGATTTAATCTATCTAGACCACTAAAATATTCTCCACGTCAGTAAACAAGCTGTGTCACTTTCTTATCATTCATGTGTTCCCTGGAACAGCACTTTCAATTTTCTTCAGGACTCAGCTAACCATTGGGCACAAGCAGCCTAGCTTTTGGCCTGTCTCTGCTTTCAGCATGCCTTCCTCACTAAGCTTAATAATTTCCAGCTTTCAATTTAAAGTGAGAGATGTATGATTCTTCCTTATATTTGAACACTTAAGAGTCCTTTGTAGGGTTATTAATCGGCCTAATTTCACTATTTTATCTGAGGGAATAAGGAGGCCCAAGGAGAGGGAGTCAGGAAAACAGCCAGTCAGTAGAACAGTCAGAACACGCACAACATTTATTAAGTTTGCTGTGTTAGAATAAAAACTTCAGCAGAATTAAATTTAAGAGTTTAATTGAACAATGAACAATTCACAAAGTGGGCAGCCTCCAGAGCCAGAAGAGGCTCAGAGACTCTGGTGTAGCCACGCAATGGAAGAAGATTTATGGACAGAAAAAGGAAAGTGACATAGAGAAAATGGAAGCAACGTACAGAAACAGCTGGTTTGGTTATAGCTTAGTGTTCACCTTATTTGAACACAGTTTGAACAACTGGCCACATGTGATTGGCCAAAACTTGGTGATTGGCACAAGAGTAGACTAGAGTCTGTTTACACTTCCATTTAAGCTATAGTTCATGGCGTACAGAGAAACCTTTTGGCTGAACTTAAAATATGTAGGGATGCAGCTTTAGTCTAAACTTAACGGCTGTCTTATATGAATGCAGTTTGTGGCACCTGAAAACAGTTACAACAGTAACAGCAAAGATCACTGATCACAGATCATCGTAACAGATATAATAATAATGAAAGAGTTTGAAATATTTTGGGAATTACCAAAATGTGACACACAGACATGAATAAATGCTATTGGAAAAATGGCGCTGACAGATTTGCTAGACACGGGGTTGCCACAAACCTTCAATTTGTAAAAAACACATTTGTACAAAAGCAAAGCACAATAAAGCAAAGTATGCCTATATTTCAAGTAGACCCAGACACACTTAAAACTTGTTTTTAATACTTAACACTTTTCATAGCTGTCATAGCTATTGAAATAAGCTGAGATTAGCTAAATCTTTCATCATAGCTATCTTTACATACCCATAATTACTTTTGAGAATTTCATGCTCAAACTATTTTTCCCCCAAGAGAAGTAACTACAACCTATTATTATTTCAGAATAACTTATTCAGGGTTCTCCTATCCAGACTTGGAGGATTCAGGTTACGATTCAAGACTAAGAAAACCTGAACCCATCCCCCAAAAGACTCTAAGCCCAGGCATTCCTAATAGCCCTAGGTCTTCAGAAAGTCTCCCGCATTGAACATAAGAGTAAAACTCAATCTAATCTATGATTTAGAAATTCATTCTGGATTCAGAATGTTTATATTAACTTCAAGAGACTAACTTCCCTTAATCTCTGTAAGCTATAGTTCACCAACTTGTAAGAGTCCCTCTTGAAACATGTCATAATGCTAAGACAAGATTAATACAAAAATAATATCTCAAGATAGATAATTAAATGTAAAATTACTGGTAGAGACTAGAAATACCACAAAAATTAAGAGAAAAAGGGCTCTGTATAAGCAGAAAATTCAGAGATGTTCATGCAAGCACTAAGACTTAAGTAGAACTTCAGGGATGAGCAGAATTGAGTGGGTAGAAAGACAAAGGCAGGTAGCATTTATGAGCACAGGTGTGGCTATAAGAATGAGCATTAAATATACAGAGGACAGGAAACATTAAATTAGTGCATAGTCAGATGGTAACATAGGGGAAAATGCAGTGGTGACACATAAAAGGCTTTGAAACCAACATAGAGAAGTTAGAATCAATGTAGCAAACACTATTTAGACTTTTGAGGTTAAAAATGACATAATCAATAGAGGTTTCAAGTTACTATTTGCATGAACCCAAATTCCTTCAGCTTGAGAATAATCTCAAATTTCAAAAGCTCACAGGAGAATTTCAACAAATCTTGTATTATCCAGCTGAAGTTCAGAACAGAAGTACAAAAAAGTCTAAGTAAAAGAGATGAAAAGGTCAATAAAAATTGGAGTGAAAGGTAGGGAGTATTAGTCACTGAAGACCAATAAGGAGTTATGTAGTACAAAACATTCAATAATTTATTTTTAAATGCTAACCTCCAAAGACACGAGAAGTTCACCAGGTGGCTTCTTACTTGTTAACTTTTTTTTATACAGTTCTTTATATTGCTTCATTTTCCCCCTATGTTTTCTAATATGCTTCCATGACCACATCCGTAACCTGGGGCAAACATTTACTTCAAGAACACCATGTATAGCATAAGCCCACCTAGTTAAAAAAAGAAAAACATTTAACACCCTCAAGTCAACAGTATGAAACGTAATTGACATTGCTTCCACTCTAACAACATACATAACTATAATACAAAGATTAGGAAAATGATATATTATCTGAGTACTTCCTTTTTACCCAATCCTGTTTGCATCAATAATCCATTCAATATTAATCTTTCCTCTTTCTTAAGTGAAAATAAGCAAAATCATTCCATTTTGTTAATATGGTTCTACACAAGAACTATTAAGGCATTAATTGGCAAATAACATTTAGTCATCTGAATAATAACTGAAATAGTCAACTGAAAGAGTAATTGTAACTTCTAGAAACTAGGGAATAGCTTAAAAACTGGAATAACAAGACTTTTGAGTTTTAAAATGGGATTATCTTGCATAGACTCCATAACATTTTTAGGTTTTAAAATACAGGTTTAATAATATTGGTTCAGTGTATCTGATAGGGAAGTTGAGGTCGGGGTTGGGGAGAGACAATGCAAGAAAACAAACCAGGATTTGTTTTTGTAATAGTTCTAAATATACTGACCCATCTATAGTAAATGAAAACTATGGTACTTGAGTATCTCAAGTTGTAAACTGTGTTAGGAAGAATCCCTTAAATCAGTTTCATCAACTCAATAAGCTAAAGCAGCTACATACACTTCTAGCTATAAATCAATTATGGTTTGTATCAGACCTTAAAAACGGTATATTTTAAAGATTACTCTTGAAGTCGAGAAATTTATCTGTATGTCGTATTTTTAAAATCTAAAAAAAAAAAAAAAAACTCAAGGCATTTTACCATTCTCTGGCATGGTGGTGAAGAGGCACATCAGGTCTGAATTTCCTATATGGCATATTTTGTGTCATCATATCAACTGATTCAAGAAGCTCCATAATACTGAAATACTAAAGAATGGAAAATTAAAGCTCTTAAATGTATCACATTTTTTTGTTCAATTGCTGAAGATAAAAGTTACATTACCGACTTTTTAGGGAAATGTTACCATATAACATCAAGAATTTTAGTGAAACATTTAAAATCTTAGTTTTGCTTTCATCAAACAATAATTCACAACTGAAAATTGTATTAAAGAAAATCACCTGTGGTTTATTAAATTCAATTGCTATGTTATGTAATTCAATATCCAAGTTTATTTTGGGGGCAGAAAAGTCAAAATCAGATCGGCGATTCATCACAAGTTTGGCATTAGCAGATATGGGACGAAATACTGAAAAACAATACAAATGGAAAAAAAATAAAACTGAGTTATATTTCCAAAGTCTCAAGGCAATAAAGTGATGAAGTTGAAAACAGTGATTTCCATTTATTTTATACCCTTTCTACAATTCCCAGATGTTCACACTGCCATGGTTCAGTCAGATGAACTGTTCCTTAATTAGTGGAAAAGATTATGTATCTTTTTCCTACTTATAATTCACTGTCTTCCATAAATACAATAAAGGCAAATTGAACTCCCCTTCAAAACACCAATATGATACTTAAAAGCAGAAACATTTTAAGAAAAAAAAATTCAATAAAATAGTTTTAATACAAGTACACAGTTTTATAGAATGAATGAACATTAGAAATGCTAAGAGGATTAACACTGGTTTCCATTATATAATTTCTGAATTTCTGATCAGTTTCTCTAGATCCATCTGTGTTCTTACTTTTAATTGGTAAAAGGAGAGAAATGAAAGGGAAAGTTTGCCCAGGATTACCTGCTTGGCTCAATCCATAATCTAAGATAAATTCCTCTCAACTCTTTGTGTTTGGTGCCAAAAAGAATAAGAACCACTCAGAGGAAAACCAGTAATAGCAGAATCTAGACAAAGATCCATCATTAAATTATAAGCTAATTTGTATATAAAGATGACATATTCCTTTTATTTTAATCATCGATACGGACTAACATTTAATTTCTTAAACATTAAACATTCAAGAATATGTTTGAATATAAACAAATGCTTAAAGATATTGTTCTTTCTTCTGTATTCCTTCTTACACTGAAAAAAAAAAAAAGAACAGAAGAAATAATGGACCTACAATTCATTGATCCTCCAACCTTTCTCTGCCCTACACCTCTGCTTCACATCCTCAGTCCATCCCCACGCTACTGAAGTTCCATCATCAGTTATTTTAATCATTCCTTTGCATAGACTCCTTAACCTCTCACTTCGTCAGTGTGGAGTAACCTGCTTAACTCCACAGTGCCCCTAAGGAGCTGAACACGGTCGGGGGTAAAAACATACTGCTGGGTCTCACTTTAATGTCATAAATCTCAAGTGCATCCTTAATGCTGCTGAGCAATCATACAACAGTCCTTGAGTCCAAGAATCATCCAAATCCATGCTATAGCCTATTTTTGTAGAGCCAATGAGCCAAAAATGCTTCATACACTTCTAGAGTTGTTTAAAAGAAACAAAGAGGAATGTGTCAGGACCTGTATATGGCCTGCAAAATGTAAAATATTTAACTTACTATATGTCCCTTTCCCCTGCCCCCCCAAAAAAGGCAATGTTCTCAAAGTATGGTTTGAACCCTATTCTACCTGAGTGGGTCTCAAACTTCAGTATTCATTAGAATCACCTGGAGAGATTATTAAAACATCAAACTGTACAATGGGAGAAAATAGCTGCAAACTATCCATCAATCATACAGGGGACTAATATCCAGAGTTTACAAGAAACTCAAACAGCAACAACAAAAAACTCAACTCCATTAAAAAGTGGGCAAGGGGCTGGGCGCGGTGGCTCATGCATGTAATCCCAGCACTTTGGGAGGCCAAGGTAGGCAGATCATGAGGTCAGGAGATCGAGACCATCCTGGCTAACATGGTGAAATCCCATCTCTATTAAAAGTACAAAAAAGTAGCTGGGCTTGGTGGTGGGCGCCTGTAGTCCCAGCTACTCGGGAGGCTGAGGCAGGAGAATGGCATGAACCTGGGAGGCGGAGCTTGCAGTGAACCAAGATTGCACCACTGCACTCCAGTCTGGGAGACAGAGCGAGACTCCATCTCAAAAACAAACAAACAAAAAAAGTTGGCAAAGAACATAAATAGACATTTTTCAAAAGAAGATATACAAATGGCCAACATGCATATGAAAAATTGCTCAACATCACTCATCATCCAAGAAATGAAAATTAAAACCACAATGTCTTTTTTATTAAAAAGACAAAAAAATGACAGATTTTGGTGAGGATGTGGAGAAAAGGGATTACTGTTGGTGGGAATGTAAATCAGTACAACCTCTGTGGAAAACAGTATGGATATTTCTCAAAGAACTAAAAACAGAACTACTATTCGATCCAGCAATTCCACTACTGGGTATCTACCCGAAAGAAAAGAAATCATTATATCCAAAAAAAAAAAAAAAAAAAAGCGCTTATATGTTTACCACAGCACTATTCACAATAGCAAAGATATGGCAGCAACCAAAGTGTCCATCAACAGGTAACCAGACAAAGAAAATGTGGTACATAAACATCACAGAATACTTTTCAGCCAAAAAAAGAAGAAAATCACATTTTTTGCAGCAACATGGATGGAACTAGAGGTCATTATCTTAAGTGAAACAATGCAGAAACAGAACAACAAATACTGCATGTTCTCACTTGTAAGTGGGAGCTAAATAATGTGTATATACGGACATAGAGCATGGAATGACAGTCACTGGAGACTCAGAAAGGTAGAGAAATGGGAGAGGGGTGGATGATAAGAAATTACTTAATGGGTACAATGTACATTATTCAGGTGATGGATACACTGAAAGCCTAGACTTCACTACTATGCAATAGATCCATGTAAAGATTGTACTCCACAATTTTATATAAATAAAAAATTAAATACAAAAACATTAAATGCTGAGCTTCACCTCCAGAGGTTCTGATTCAGGAGGTCTGGGAAAGGCCCTAGAAATCTGCATGTCTAAATGATGCTGCTAGTTTGAACCACACTTTGAGAATATTGCCCTAGTCAATTCTCTCTCTCACTCCCCTAGCATTCCTATTTCATCCTCTCTTTTCCCTCCAAAAACCTCCAACACCCCATGTAACGGTTAATATTGACTGTCAACTCCATTGTATTGAAAGATGCAAGTATCGTTCCTGGGTGTGTCTGTGATGGTGTTGTCAAAGGAGATTAACATTTGAGTCAGTGGACTGGGAAGGGCAGACCCACCCTCAATCTGGGTGGGTGCAATCTAATCAGCTGCCAGCGTGGCCAGAATAAAAGCAGGCAGAAGAACATGGAAAGACTAGACTGGCTTAGCCTCTGAACCTACATCTTTCTCCTGTGCTGGATGCTTCCCGCCCTCAAACATTCAGATTCTTCTTCTCAAACTCCAAATTCTTCAGCTTTGGGACTTGGACTGGCTTCCTTGCTCCTCAGCTTGCAGATGGCCTATTAAGGGATCTCACCTTGTGATCATGTGAGTGAATACTAATAATAAACTCAACTTTATATATACAGCTGTCCTATTAGTTCTGTCCCTCGAGAGAACCCTAACACACCTCAGATACTTATTTTTTTAATTGAAGAGCTCAGAGGAGAATTTCCATCAACTCTTATCACCATATCTACTCATCTACTCAGTATGAGGACTTCTCTCACAACTAAACTCTATCATATAAATAAACTAACTACGCTCCTATCTGCAGCAAATCTCTCCACTTGCGTACTAGACACCATTCTCTTTCACCTATATCAATCCAGAAACTGTCCCCCGTTTCTCCGGCATCATCAATTTGTCATGTTCTACTGGATCATTCCCATCTCAGCCTATAAACAAGCTGTCATCTTCCCGATTAAATATAAAAATAAACAAAAAGAAAACCTTCATTCCCCCTTCCCTCTCCAACAGGTATGCCAGTTATCAATTTATTACTTCTGAGCTCCAAACATCTCCTTCATAGCCTGCTCTGAAAAATGATTTGGGGATCTCTAAATATGTTTCTTTTGAAGGCAGAGAATGCAGAGCAAAAAAAATTTTTTTTTCTTTTTCCAGCTGGCATAATGTTAAGCTTTATCAGCAGAGGACACTGGAGAGACACTGCAGGAGGAAAGAGTTATGCTGCCTGTTCCAGTATGTTCACTCAATAGGCTCCTGCACGGACATGGCTTCTCTCACACTCAGCTCCTACAGATCCGGCAGCTTCTGCAGTGTCTGGTTCCTCCAGCATGGAGTTCTTCAGCACTGGCCTTTTGTAGTACATGGCAGCTAGAAGCAGCCAGATGCCAGCAACTTCCCCCAGCACCTTGCTAAGGCAGTTTTGTACTGGAGTGCATTCAGAGAGATACCCCTCCATGAGGCTCCCTAGAGGTAGATTTCCAGAAAGTTCCAGAGAGTGAAGTACCAACAGGTTTTGCTGGCACAGCACCACAGAGAATTTCCTGCCATTCAATAAGCCACACTATGTCCTCCAACAAGGTCTACAACTCAGTCCTGAGGTAGGGGGACATTCTCTTTTGGGCACCCCATCCTAGCCCTAGGGTAGGGGATGTTTCTTCTGTCTATATTCTTTAGCATTTTTATGAGACAGTCCCTTGTTACTCCAGTCTCCTCTTATACTTAGTAATTCTTTATATTACATTTGTTCTCTTCAAATTACTCAGTACTTTCTCTCCCCTCACTGAACTCTGATACAGCAGGAAATGATTTCAGGGCAAAGAAGAAATCAGTCGACTTTACCATAATGGATCTGAAAATCATAAACACAGATAACTCATCTGTTCTGAATATGTCCTATAAGAAGAGAATCAAGAAAATGAAACCAAATTCAAACCAATAAAAATAATTATTTTAAGAGTGGGCACAAAAAAAGTCACTTGAGTAATCATGAAGGTATATAACACAGATAGAAAAGTATCACTGAGCCAAGAAAGGAAATACTTTCAGGAAGGATATTCTACAGTTAATGACATCAGACATGCAGATTCAAGAATCAAGTTATCCATCACCAACTTTTATTAAGTGCCCTCATGGTAGAAGAAACAGCACTTTTTTTGTTGTTTTTGTAGAGACGGAGTCTCGCTCTGTCACCCAGGCTGGAGCGCAGGGGCACGATCTCGGCTCATTGCAACCTCTACCTCCCGGGTTCCCAGATGGCTCACACCTGTAATCCTAGCATTTTGGGAGGCTGAGGCAGGCAGATTGCCTGAACTCAGGAGTTCGAGACCAGCCTGGGCAACATGGTGAAACCCCATCTCTACTAATACAAAAGAAATTAGCTAGGCGTGGCGGTGTTTGCCTGTAGTCCCAGCTACTCGGGAAGCTGAGAAACAGCACTGATTTTTTCTTTCTGTTTTAGTAATTCATTTCTGATTGAAAAAGTAATGCATGCTCATTTTAGAAAATTTGGAAAACACAGAAAAGTATAAATCAAAAAAATTTTAAATGTAGCATGATCTTACTATTTTTAGAAAGGCTGTACTAGCTAGCCTTATTAAATTACATTTGCCATTTTGAAATGTCTTTATAAATATTACCCTAATGCTTATTGAATAATCCTTAGAGGTTTATCATAATTTGTTAACATCTTTTGTTGGACATTTTTCCCTACAGTTTTGAAATATAGTCAAAAGCTTCATAACAATAAAATATATGTTAATAAAAAATATAATATTATTTGGTTTTGTATATACATTATAAATACATTTAACTATATAGAAGGAAATTTAATATGAACTAGCACAGTGATAGCAACAATGTTAATTTAAAATTTATACCAATTACTTTAACTACTTTTTTTTTATCTTATAAAATGTACTTACCAAAATCATAACCTTCTGGAACAATATTTTCATTGACAATGCCATTCCTCAAGTCGTCCTATTAAGAGACAAATTGCTTTTATTTATATTCATGCCAATATGTCTTTTTTTGAGACGGAATCTCCCTCTGTTGCTTAGGCTGGAGTGCAGTGGCACAATCTCAGCTCACTACAACCCCTGTCTCATGGGCTCATGTGATTCTCCTGCCTCAGCCTCCTAAGTGGCTGGGATTACAGGCATGCAGCACTGTGTCTGGCTAATTTTTGTATTTTTTGTATTTTAACACTTTGGCTATGCTGGTCTTGAACTCCTAACCTCAAGTGATTCACCCGCCTCGGCCTCCCAAAGTGCTGGGATTACAGGTGTGCGCAACCACGCCTAGCCATATTCATGCTAATATGTCTTTATCCTAAAAAATCCTATTATCTGCAAAAGAAAAATGTTTAAAAACAATTCTAAAAAACAATTCAAACTTAGGAGGACTTAGCTATGGCAAAATATTAAGGTAGTAGTTAAACAATATCTCACCAAACTACTCTTATAAAAGGATGTTCTAAGAACTATTTAGATTTGCAGGTATCATTGGGCGCAGTGGCTCACACCTGTAATCCCAACACTTTGGAAGGCTGAGCTGGGAGGATTGCTTGAGGCCAGGAGTTTGAGACAAACTTGGGCAACAAAAAGTGAGACCTTGTCTCTACCAAAAAATTAAAATATTAGCTGGGCATTGTGGCATGTGCCTACAGTTCTCGCTACTCAAGAGGCTGAGGCAGGAAGGAGGATTGCTTGAGCTCAAGAGTTAGAAGCTGCAGTGAGCTATAATCGTGCCACTGCACTTCAGCCTGGGCAACAGAGCAGACCCTGTCTCCAAAAAAAAAAAAAAGAGAGATGGGGGTATGTATTCATGCTTGTGCATAGTTACATACATCTTCACCTGTATCTGTAAATTCTGCTAATAGATTGTGCCTAGAAAAAAATACTGACTACAGTATGTTAGATAAATGACAATGAATTAAACCTCATTCAAAATACGATACCAACAAATATATACATGCATATCAAAAAAATTTACTTACCAAGGAGTCATCATAATCATTAAGATAAAACATCTGAGACTTCACATTCCAATAGGCAAAAAGGTTATCCAATCGGATTAACTGAAAATAAAATTTATTAGATGTCTCATTTTCTTAGAATTTTTAACATATACTATTTTTAGAAGTCTCAAATAAGTAAGTGAGCCATATCACAGAGTTAAACAAATAAGCACAATTTACATACATCCTTATCTATATATTATCATTTGGCTTTCCAAAATTCTCTTAAGTCCATGAGTTGACAAATACAGTATTTATTTACCTTACGAACTAGTTTCTCAGTTTCATCATGTAAACAAGGAACCCAGTATTGATCAGTTGTCTGAAAAGGAAAAAAAAGAATGGCAGTAAAAAGGTCATTCCATTTGAAATGGCAGAGTGATAAATCACTATCTATCATACCCTAGACCAATGTCCTATGAAAATGCCTTTAAACACATATCACTCCATCAAAAAATACTAACTGACCACAGTAAAGTATCTGCTTTCAAGGAAGGAGCTCATTGCAGGTCAGAAAAGCAAACAAAGAAACAGGCAATTTCCAACAGGTAAGTGCCACAGTAGAAGTTAAACACACAGTTCATTGAGAGGACATGGCAGGAGCGTCCAATTCAGGGGTGTGATGGATAAAGAGATGTTATATATAACCTAATATAGAACATGTAACTAAAAATTATTGATTCTAAGGTCGACAAGGAATATGATTCACATCAGGCAGAGCCCAAAGGTACACAAATATAGGACACATTCCGGCAACTGAAGTAGCTCACTATGCGAGAGAATATAATGCAAAACAGAGAAAAAAGGTAAAACCAGGTATATTGCCTGAGGTCGGTTTAAAAAGAGTTTATAAGTTGTTTAAGGACAAAACTAAGAGCAATGAAAAACCACTGAGAGGAACAAAGTGATCAGATCTTTATTTTAGAAAGATGGTTTTCATTTCTAAGTGGAGAACTGAATGGATAATTAGAATAGTAGTTCTCAAAGTTTAGCATGCATTAGGATCCCCAACCTTTTTGGTACCAAGAGCAGTGGTCCTCAACCTTTTTGGCACCAAGGACCAGTTTCATGGAAGATAACTTTTCCATCAGGGGCACAACCTAGATCCCTGGCATGCGCAGTTCACAATAAGGTTTGCAAGGATCTTATGAGAATCGAATGCCACCTCTGACCTGACAGAGCTCAGGCGGTAATGCTCACTCCCAGCCCTTACCTCCCGTTCTGCAGCCCAGGAACCCTGACCTAGAGGGCTTTGTAAAACACAGATTGCTGCATCCAAATCCTAGAGTTTCTAACTGAATAGGTCTAGGCTGGCAGACAAGTTTCTAAAGGTGATGATAAGTAACCACTGTTATCATGGCTACCAATGACCTTCACACTGCCCAATCCAATGGCTAATTCTCCATTCTTATTTTTCAACTTAATGATAGTATTTGAATAACTTTTTGGAGGCCATTTTTTCTTTCTTCCTTGCAGTGGGGCCACATTTTAAAAAGAATTTGTGGAGTCTCTCTGAGCCTGCTCTGGCTTGGGAGGCTGCTCAATTTTAAAATAATAATAAAAAAGAAATCATACACAAAACCCAATAGATGTAACAAATAAAATAATGTAATGAAATATGATACAGCAGTTAAACTGAATTTTGTTACGTGTGGCAACACAGATAAACGTCAAAAACACTGGAAAGTGCAAAAAGGAACTTATAGAAGAGTCATATAAAACGTGTAAACTTTTAAAATCCTACATTTTTAATAGATTTATTATATAAAAGTTTTAAAACTTAGGATATTTATCTCTGGGGAATGAGGGGTGGGTGGAAGTAGAGAACAAAAGGGATTCAAACTTTATCCAAAACAGCTTATTCCTATAAAAATATTTAAGACTTTAAGCAAATAGGTTATGTTAACAGGCTCTTAATTTAACAGCCATCCATTCTGGAGGCAAGCAAGTTTCAAAATTCTCTATGTGCTCTTATATTTTTAAAATTCCTTGATTTCAAAAATTAAACAGGAAAACACTATGCTACAATATTAATAATGATATTGAGAAAAACTGATGATTTATGTTTTTCAAGGCTTATAGAAGTTTCAGATATGAATATTTATTACTTGTATTTGGTACTTATTACAAACTTGGAAACGGATTTTTTAAAGTAAGCAAAAGTATCTAACATCATAATTACCAATAATAATAGGACCTCGTATTTCTGAATTTGATTTTCAACCATTTTTTGAAATATGAATCTACATACCCTTGATTCCAATCCAATCAAGGTCCTTTCTGCACCCGTTCTACATAGACACCTATTTCTGATGCTGGCATATACAAAGAGCAGTAGTTTAATTAACTAGGTTGCACAATTAAATATGGTTAGGATTCTTGTATAAACAAAATACCTGCATGCTGAGATTTTGAAGGGAAATACCAAATGACAGCGGTTTGTCCCGATTTGTGATCTAAAGAGGAAAGAAAGTAACATTTACTCAGATTTTTAGTAGTTGGACAAAATTCACTTTATAGAAAAAACTGTCCATGTGCAGTGCCTCCCGCCTGTAATCCCAGCACTCTGGAAGGCCAAGGCAGGAGGATTGCTTGAGCCCTGGAGACCAGCCTGGGTAACATAGTGAGACCCTGCCTCTACAAAAAAATGTAAGAAAATTAGCCAGGCCTGGTGGGGTGCAACTGTAGTCCCAGCTACTGCAGGGTGGGTGGGTGGGGGTAAGGTGGGAGGATCACTTGAGCAAGGAAGGTCAAGCTTGCAGTGAGTCATGATCGGGCAACTGCACTCCAGCCTGGAGACAGAGTGAGGCTGGAAAAGGAAAAGGAAAAGGAAAAAGAAAGGAAAGGAAGAAAAAAAAGAAAAGAAAAGAGAGAGAGGGAAGGAAGAAAAGAAAAGACAAGACAAGAAAAGAGAAAGAGAGAGAGAGAGGGAAGGAGAGAGGGAGGGAGGGAGGGGTAACTTTTTGGGAAGTAACTTATTTCAAACATCCAAAAACATTTTATTACTTTCCAGAAAAACTATTATTCCTATATTTTTCCTAAAACAAATAAAATATTAATTATTAATATATTTGTGTTACACAGGAATATTAAACTGCATGTTTTCCAGTTTACAAAAAAATTATTTAAAAAGACTAACAAAATAGGATTATAAAGCAAATAATTATGTGGTTAAGAGAAAACAAATGACTTACTCAAGATAAAGGAATTATTTAAGGCTAGCTCCACTAATTGCTAGACCAGTACTCTATCCAGGAGGTAAACACAGCATACTTTAAATTATTTTAAAAATACATAACTGCTAAATTCATAACTCCCAAGGCATTTCCTTCATGATCTAATGTCTGAACATTTTGGGAAAGTGTAAAATCAAGCACTCAATACTAAGGACTGCAAATAACAACTATAATTATAGAAAAGAAGGATTATATCATCTTTAGCTCTGTATCCTCTTGGTATTTAATAGGTTGGCCATTAAAAAGCAGGTGTTAATAAACAGTAAAATAACTTACATATAAATATAAAAACAAATATCACACATTAAAATACTTACATCATCTTCATAACGAATATGGATACTGGAAATTTTCACTTGAAGATTTTTTATGATCTGTGTAACTAATTTTTCTGCAAAAGTGTCCTGTTTTTCCGGCAGATGTTGTTCTACAATTGCAAATATTCTTTTTTTTAACTTGAATGAAAAATATACTCTATAAAAATCCACATATTGAAGTAACATACTTATGCTGCCTTGCTGAAACATACATATATATATGTAAATAGAACACTAATAGCTTGCTTTCCAAAAGTCTTTCAAAAGCAACTAAACATTTTTCAAAAGCTAGTTTATTGTGCCATGAGACTAAAGCAGACCATGTAGAATTTGCTGACATTAAATTTTATAATTTGCTAACCTATGCCTGAGTACAAAAACATATTTAAAAAATGAAGATTAGTAGGTAAGAATTATAATAGATTTAAATGAGGAAATCCACTAACAACAGCAAAACAGAAAGCTCTCTCAAAATTAGTGATACCACCATTAAGCTGTCTGTGTACAGATGTGTAAAACAGTTGAATATCCTCCTCCCCCAGTAAATACAAAATAGGAAATAAGATCTTCTTCCTCTCTCCATTTGAACAAGGATGAAAGAAGTTCATCATCTATTTCATGTTCAGAAAACAGTATTAAGTATCTCAAGTTCCATTACTTTCCAGAGAAATAGAAAGAATCAAGAATTGGAGGAACAGGCCGGGCGCAGTGGCTCAAGCCTGTAATCCCAGCACTTTGGGAGGCCGAGACGGGCGGATCACGAGGTCAGGAGATCGAGACCATCCTGGCTAACACGGTGAAACCCCGTCTCTACTAAAAATACAAAAAACTAGCCGGGCGAGGTGGCGGGCGCCTGTAGTCCCAGCTACTCCGGAGGCTGAGGCAGGAGAATGGCGCAAACCCGGGAGGCGGAGCTTGCAGTGAGCTGAGATCCGGCCACTGCACTCCAGCCCGGCAACAGAGCAAGACTACATCTGAAAAAAAAAAAAAAAAAAAAAAAGAATTGGAGGAACAAGGTGGCTCACACCTGTAATACCAGCATGCTGGGAGGCCAAGGCGGGCAGATCATCTGAGGATAGGAGTCTGAGACCAACCTGGCCAATATGGCAAAACCCCGTCTCTATTAAAAATATAAAAATTAGCCAGGCATGGTGGTCCATGCCAGCTACTTGGGAGGCTGAGGCAGGAGAATCATTTGAACCAGAGAGGTGGAGGCTGCAGTGAGCCAAGATCACACCACTGCATTCCAGCCTGGGAGACAAAGTGAGACTTTGTCTCAAAAAAAGAAAAGGAAGAATAAAGAATTGAGGTTCCTAATTTTTTTGAAATATGCCTTTGATAACCATAGTTATTATCTTTTTTCTCCCTTTAAATACGCCAGTGAAAGCTATATTCTTTTTTATTTGTAGTTCTGTTCCTCTTTTCATATTTCTAGTACTATATAGAAATAATATATATAAATCTATCTTTTCCTCTAATTGTCTACTACTCTCTAATTCAGCTGGCCCAGGAGGCCTTAGATAAAGGAAAGTTGAAGATATTAATCATATGTACCTCAAATACACCAGAGTTAAATGAATATATACAATATAAATAGATTATAGAATTAAGTAGACAATAGAATACAAGTTATTTAAATACAGAGGATCATATTTTAATCTTTGACTCTCACCACTACCTAATAAAATCTTTTCTTTCATAAATTCATTTAGTCATTCAATTAAATGTTAAGTCTTTCTTTCTCTACCCACTACTTCCTCCTGACTTCCTTATGCAGCTCAGATTCCATGATGCATTATTTTACCAACACCTTAAATTCCTTTGCTCTTTTTTCTCATATTACTCTGTCAATAAAGCACCAATCCTGAATAAAACCAACTATCCATTTTACCTGAAAAGCATGCCAATGCCTATGTCTTGCAGGGTAACAAAACGAAACACAAGATGAGTTTAAAACAAACACCACCACCAAAAAACCAAGTCACAGAACCCTGGAAAGATACAGGAACTGGAAACCCCACCAAACAAAAAATAGCAAACAGGGAACATAGTGGAGAGAGAGGAAGATCACACAAGAACTGATTTAAATCTGCATAATGAGCAGTTAAGTTAGGTCTCCTCCCTCTCCCAGCCCAATATCCAAGCAACATCCCTTTCCCACCCTAGTAAGAACACAAGGGTTTATTTTAGAGAAAATGGCCCTAATAGGATCCAAATTTTGTACATGGGAGAACAGGGAGAGCCCAATAACAAAACAGGGAGGTTAAGTAAAAGCCTACAAAATAAACAGTCATACTCAAAGCCACTTTTATTTATTCACATATAAATAAAATATTTATATATAGTCATGATACTATAAACAATGAATTCTGATTTAACCAAAAAGGTGATAAAACTATACAGAGAAGATGAAAAAATAGGGTCAATCTTCATAGTACATCATAAAAGGATGTGTGTGTATATATATATTACACGTGTTATATATTGTATGTCATATATATGCCAATGAAACACAAGATGAGTTTAAAATATGTAACGTCATTAATTGTATGTTATAAAATATATTATAGAAAATATGCATGTTATGTTATATATAACATGTTTTTTATATATAAATAATATCTAAATAAATCAAGAAACAGAGGTGTAAGCACCATATTTAGCAATATAGGTGCGGACCTGGGCCAGGAACAGTTGTTTTTTTTTTAATATGGATACTATAATACTGCTTAGGTTTTAAAGCTATGCATATATATTATCTTGATAAAATAAAAATAATTTTTAAAAAGAAAAGGCCTAAGAGACTTAGGAAAGAGGACTGGAGGTAAGGATAAATGACTACACATAAGATAAAGTAACTGTTACAAATCAAAAACAGAATTACAAGAGATGTTGTGAAGAATTACATGTTAACTCTCTATTAATGTTTGCCAACAAGTAAAACATTTATTATTGAAGCTTATTTTTTATTAAAAGAAAATCAATGCGTTTCAGAGACAGTGAAGTCAGTAAACTTTTTTTTTTAATTTTAAGATGTTTAACCATTAAATGAATGACAGAGGAGAAGAAGATAAACAGATGACTAGGTTAAGAAAATGACTTCATGTTTCAAGATAAACAACAGAATATTTACATGCCAAGGCAAAAAACCCACTAGGTGAGAGTATAAAAAGTAGCTGGCAATAAGGATCAGAGAACAGGTGAAAAGGAGTTAGATTTCTGCAGGACACTGCTTCCAATAATGAAAAAGAGGTTGCAGTAATGGAACATATGGTCTAAGTTTAATTGGAAAATATGTGAAGCCAGAGGGTAAATAAACAGATAGAGGCAAATAGAAATATATCAAGAAACTAAGTATCTCCAAAAGGGTGAAGAATTGATATAAGGAGAATACAAAAGCAAAGGCTAGAAAATTAACATGCTCGATAAAATTAATCGCTATCATTAAAAACTGACCTTACCTAGTATGTATGTGTGTATATATATATTTAAAATATGTAAACCTAATAATAATAAGCTAGACATATTATTTGCCATAAGATAAATTTCCATAAGGTAAAATTTCTGTACACATAACAAAGCATACAAACTACATTAAAATTCCCCATGCAATGAGACTCTCTCATATTTGTTAAATAATCTCAGCATCTCCAGAGAAAAATAATATTCAATTATGATAAATATTTAGGTCTTTTCCACTTCTCTTATTAGCATTGTTATTTACTGTTTTCTTTACCTTGATCAACTACTTTTTGTTTTGCTTCTTCTATTCTTTTCAGTTCCTGTTGCTTTGCTTCCATGAGTTGTTTCTCTTCTTTTATAGGATCATATTTTATTCCTACAGGAAGATTAAAAAGGAAGAATCATAATTACCTTAAAAATACAGTCATTCCAAAAAAGTCCTTACAAATAATCATTAATTGGCCAGGCACAGCGGCTCATGCCTGTAATCCCAGCACTTTGGAAGGCTGAGGCAGGCGAATCATGAGGTCAGGAGTTCAAAACCAGCCTGGCCAACATGGTGAAACTCCATCTCTACTAAAGATACAAAAAATTAGCTGGGCGTGGTGGCGGGCCCCTATAATCCCAGCTACTCAGGAGGCTGAGGCAGGAGAATTGCTTGAACCCAGGAGGCAGAGTGTGAGCTGAGATGGTGCCACTGTACTCCAGCCCAGGTGATAGTGCGAGACTCTATCTTTAAAAATAATAATAATAAATAATAAATAATCATTAATTCAAAATCTCCAAAAATGTAGAGTAAAAACCAATTTAATTTGAATTAACAAATATCAAATTTAAATATTAAAATCTCAAAAAAATCCCAAAAGTATTTTGAATATAAAGATTTTTCCATCCATAAAAAAGAAAAACTTAAATTATAATTTTTCTAAATTTAACTTACTAGAAGAAGGCACTATGAGTAAATAAATTTCTTCCAACACAGCTTCAACAGGTTGAGTATAAAGGTTTTTCCATGGAATTATAAGTTTAAGATTACCTACATTTTTTTGGAAAAAAAAAAAGGACAAAAAATATTACTCATTCAACCTACATTTAGGGTTAGTCTATTTTCTGTCAGACATTAGAAGAGATCCGCTTAATCACTTTATTGAAAGCTATTTTACAACCAAAAACAACAAGTGTTTGTTGTAATGATGTGAAATTATTGTATTTATATCAGTATTGTTGGAAAACCTAGATTATATTCAAAATATTTACACAAGTTTCTATTTACAGTTCTCCGTACCATAAACAAACCAATATTCTTCTTCCCTTAATCAACAATCGTTAATATCATAACTTTGAATTTCCCCAATCCTTACTCTAAACCTCCATATATATTTTTTTTAATGCTTTAAGATGGTAGATTAGGCCAGGTGCTATGGCTAGCTGGAATCCTAGCACTTTGGGAGCCTAAGGCAGATGGATCACTTGAACCCAGGAGTTCTAAGACCAGCCTAGGCAACATGGCGAAACCCTGTCTCTATGAATAAAAACTAAAAAAATTGGCCAAGAGTGACGGTGTGTGCCTGTAGTCCCAGCTACTTGGGAGGTTGAGGTGGGAGGATCTTGAGCCCAGGAGCTCGGGGCTACAGTGAGGCATGATCATGCCACCGCACTCCAGCCTGGGTGATAGAGTGAGACCTTTACCTCCCCCCAATAAAAGGTAGATTATATACTTTAAATAAGTATGTGTATATATATTTTTCATTATGTGTATGTGTGTTACATACATACATATGTGCGTACGTACAGGAATTTTTATATACACATATGGTAATAATCATACATATAAACTATATACGTGAAAAACTACACATATAGTAAAAATAAAACATTCTGGGTAATATTTGAAAATTATGCAAACTAATGAAAACAGCCTAAGACAATCAAATAGCAATGAATTTTTTTTTTAAGCATAAGGGTTCTTTTTTTTTTCATTATACTTTAAGTTCTAGGGTACATGTGGATAACATGCAGGTTTGTTACATATGTATACCTGTGCCATGTTGGTGTGCTGCACCCATCAACTCGTCAGCACCCATCAACTCGTCATTTACATCAGGTATAACTCCCAATGCAATCCCTCCCCTCTCCCCACTCCCCATGATAGGCCCCAGTGTGTGATGTTCCCCTTCCCGAGTCCAAGTGATCTCATTGTTCAGTTCCCACCTATGAGTGAGAACATGCGGTGTTTGGTTTTCTGTTCTTGCGATAGTTTGCTGAGAATGATGGTTTCCAGCTGCATCCATGTCCCTACAAAGGACACAAACTCATCCAAGCATAAGGGTTCTTGAACTACAAAAACACTATGTATGGGGTTTCTTAAAGTACTCACTCTAGTTTTGTATCTTGAGAATATTTTCATAATAGAGAGTTTTAAAATATTTTAAAATTGTTTAAATGGTATGAGTGTCTAGATTTATAAACAGTTGCCATAATTGTGTAAGGAATAGATTATTAAATATACAATGTTGCTAAAACTGGTTAGTGATTGGGAAATTTTTTTAAATCCACTTAGATCCATCTCATGATACTTTATAAACTCCGTGTTTAGAAAACTTCAAACTGAGAAAAAGATTTCATCATACAATATCATTTCAGAGAAAAACGAACTATCTGATTTCTTTTTTATATTTTTTGTAGAGTCAGAGTCTCACTATTTTGCCCAGACTGGTCTCAAACTCCTGGCCTCAAGCAATCCTCTTGCCTCTGCCTTGTAAAGTACTGGGATTATGGGTATCAGCTACCCTGCACAGCCTCTAAACTATCTGATTTCTAAAAGGGGAATAACTTCCTAAATTTTTAAATCAGAGAACATGGTGATCATTTCAAATTTCTGTACAGGCCAAAAATATAACCAAAATGAAATCAGACTGGGAAAAAAACTATAACAAATTTGACACGGTTAGTTTATTTATAAATGTACCAACATTTATAATGCTTGGTACATTATAAATGTACAAATGCTTAAAATATATACAGTAATACTTCAAAAACAGTAAATGAACAAAAGGACAAAGAGCAATGACAAAACTGTATAAATAATAAACGCATATTAACATTGTGCCATTTTCACCACCGAATCTTTTTTTAAAAAAGCCAAACTTGACCAGGCGCAGTGGCTCACATCTGTAACTCCAGCACTTTGGTGGGCTGTGGTAGGAGGATCACTCGAGTCCAGGAGTTCAAGATGAGCCTGGGCAACGTGGCAAAACCCTGTCTCTAAAAAAATACAAAACTCAGCCAGGCATGGTGGCATACACCTGCAGTCCCAGCTACTCGGGGGCTGAGGTGGGAGGGTTACTTGAGCCAGGAAGGCATAGGCTGCAATGAGCCAAGATCGCACCACTGCACTCCAGCCTGGGCAACAGAGCGAGACGCTGTCTCAAAAAACCAACCAACCTTTTCTTCCTTCTCTTATAAAATGTAGACTCCTTGTAGAAAATTTGGCAAATTTCGAAAAATATACAGATGTAATTCCAAAAGCCTTCCACAGAAGACAACCTCTTTTATAATATATACATGTGTATTTATAGCTGATATACCTGTAATCCTGCATTCTAAATGAGGAAAACTTTGAAAGATCAATACCTAATAATAGCAAGGGGACAATACATTCCTATAAAACTGATTGTGCTACTGTATCATTCATTTGGAAACATGTACTACTTTCATACAACAAATTGTGCCCCTAATATATATGCCAGGTAATGTGCTAAATGGTGAGGATACACTAAAAAATTAAACCCACTTCTCAAGAAACTCGATGTCTAGTAGAAGGGGGGAAAAATAGTGATAGTTTTAAAAGACAGGTGCTATGACAGAGGTACACAACACTTTAAATGATTCTCAAAATTATCTTGGGTTTAGTTCAGTGTACTTTCTACTATCTTATCATTGAAAATTACCTTATCATTTTTAAACAAAATTAGGCAAGAAAAGAGAAGGCAGGCAGAGTCTAAGGAAAATAGGTCTATCTACTTCACTGATATATTTTTTTGACTATTCTTGAATTGAGGTTAAATTTACATACACTGAAATATAATAATCATCACTGTAAAATTCAATGACCTTTGGTAAAAGTTTAAAAGTTATATAAAAATATGTATTGTAATATTTGTGTACCAATGGAAAAATAAAATCATTCTACAATATCCAAATATGCATGCACTGGATTATTATAGTACAGAATACATGAGATCAAATCAACTCAGATTATGAGAAATCCTTTTTACATGCTAATAAAAAAAATTATAAAATTGTAAAAATAGCATAATTACAAGTATTTCAATACGTACAAACTTGTAAGTATTTAAAATGTACACACGTAAATAATCAGAAATATGAAAAAATTAAAATGTTAAGTAGATAAAAATGGGTGACATTCTCCCCCTCTTACTCATGCTAAATAGTCTTTAAAAGGTAGGGGCAGAGAGGATAGAATTCTACTGTCAGTAACATATGATGATGAAAGCTTTCTATGGTATATAGTCTAATACCAACCATAAGTATACATAATTATGAAGACCTTTATCATGTAATTTAGGTAAGCTTTCAAAATACTTTGTTCCCCAAGCGACAACAGTATAGCTTCAATAACAATGTATACATTCTACTACAAAAACTATCTATATAACAAAAATATCTCAAAGTCCCAATTAAAGACACTATTATCTTGCACAATATTTAAACCAGTAAAACTGTAACACAAGAAACATGACAGACAAGTTTTTATTAAACATGTTAAAACCTCAAATTCCAATCATTTACTGCTCAACCAGTATATTTACGATATAAACAGTAAACACTGGTAAAAATAATACCAAGCAAGAAAAAGCAGAGTATTTTCTGAAAACATACAAAAACTTGCAGAGCAGAAATTAGTTTTCAAATTGGCCCCTAGTCACAGAGCCTAGATGACCCAGAACCTATTCTTTACACAACATATCCAACCTTAATCAAAACATAGCAGTGGTAACTAGTCAGAAACCTAGGAAACTGAAACAGCTAAGCTCTCCATTAGAGGTAATCCTTTGAATTAACTCACTTTACCACCTAAAGAGATATGTAATGTATTAGGTTATCAAATACTAGGTAAGAGATATATGAATCGAACAATATTTTTAAGTTGCACAACGAAGCTCGACTGAGACAAAAACACGTAATTATTTTTAATTGATGCTCAGAAACATGAAAAATATCACATAACAGAGATATCGGGCAAATTGTTCTGGCTGCATGTCCAGGAAGGAGGATATCCCAGTAATAAAAATGGCTTACCTATGTGACCAACTTTAACTTTAAATGGTACATCCAGTTGACTCTACGGAAAAAATTTATATATATACAAAACATTAGTAGATACAGAGTTTAACAACACAAAAGAATATTGTTTACTTCCAAAAATTATTTCAAGGGATTTTTTTAATAAACGCATGCATTTCCTTACCATCAACATTTATTTACATCTATAAACATATAATTGCGATATTATTATCAAATTCATAAAATTCAGGGAAGCTGCTCTTATAATAATTGGGGATAAAGGTCTACAGTAAAAATGACCACAAAATCTACTCATATCAAATCATTACCAATTTTATATTATTTTAAGAAAAAGAAGTGGCAATTACAATGCCCTTTTATGCTTTTAGGGAGATTAAAACTCTATTTTGCAAAATACACATTTTGTAAAAAATACTTTCAAAACATTCTCCCCATTCAAAGGACAGTCTTTTAAATAAATGGTGCTAGGAAAACTAGATATCCCCTCGCAAAAACATGAAACTGAACCCTTATCCTATACCATATACAAAAATTAACTCAAAATGGATCAAAGATCTAAACCTAAGAGCTAAAACTATAAAACTCTTAGAAGAAAACCTAAGGGAAAATCTTCATGACATTAGATTCGGTAATGACTTCTTGGATATGACAATAAGAGCACAAGCAATTAAAAGAATAAATGAACTAGTCTTTACCAAATTAAAAACGTTTCAGCTACTCAGGAGGCTGAAGTGGGAAGACACCTTGAGCCTGGGAGCTGAAGGCTACAGTAAGCTATGATCACACCACTGCACTGCAGCCTGGGGTGACAGAGCATGAGCCTGTCTTAAAAAAAAACAATCAGAAAACAAGTTAAAAATTCAAAATAAAAACATCTGTATTTTTTTGTATGTTTGTTTTTGTTTGGTTTGGTTTTGAGACAGAGTCTCACTCTGTCGCCCAGGCTGGAGTACAGTAGCACGATCTCTACTCACTACAACCTCCACCTCCCAGGTTCAAGCGATTCTCCTGCCTCATCCTCCCTAGCAGCTGGGATTACTGGCATCCGCCACCATGCCTGGCAAAGCTTTTTTCATTTTCAGTAGACAGGGTTTCACCATGTTGGCCAGGCTAGTCTCGAACTACTGACCTCAAATAATCACCTGCCTTGGCTTCCCAAAGTGCTGGGATTATAGGTGTGAGCCACCATGCCCAGCCTAAAACAGTATTTATTTTTAAATAGGAAAAAAATCACACTGTCCATTTGTGCTTTGAAGGAGAGTAAAACTCCATATTGCAAAATTTGCATCTTGCAAAAATTATTTACAAAAAACTTTCTCAAATTTAAATAACTGAAGGTGGCAAACTGAATCAGGAAGAAGTATACATAATTAAATGCAATAACTTTACAAATTTTTCATAGGCAAAACCTACCAGGGCATTTTCTTTAATTTGAAGATTCTTGAGGGCCACAGCTCCTAAAAGAGATTAAAAAAAAGATTCAAACAATCAAATATTTTTCATTTTAAAAAGTTAATAAGTATGCTTCATTCCTGTCATACTCAGGAAAAATACATAAATAATGTGCATAACAGATAATAAAATCTACCTATAATCTTATTATCTCACCTTCATTCTCCTACATAGTCTAAGAGAGTATGCTTAACCAAATCTTCACTTCCTGTAACTTTTGACCTCTGCAATTGTAGCTCAATGTTAACATATACAACATTTTAATTAGAATTACACAAATAACATGAGTCTAACAAAGTAGCATGATACAAGATTAATATGCAAAAAGTAAACTACATTTAAATATAATTGCAATAAACCATTGGGAAAAAATTATTTAATGCAAAATCAGTGAGCCCCAAGATACAGAAATAAAGACTTCCCAATTCAAAGCCAATAAAAAAAGAAAATGAGAAAAATAATAGAACAGAATGTCCAAGAACTATAAGACAATTGCAAAATGGGATTAACCAAAGTTTAAAATACACTGCTATAACACTAGGATGTTACATGTAATCCCATCGTAACCACAAAGAAAATATCTTTAGAACAAACACAAAAGTCACCCAGGCATGGTGGCAGGCACCTGCAGTCCCAGCTACTTGAGGAAGCTGAGGTGGGAGGATCACATAAGCCTAGAAGTCCAGCTTGGGCAATATAGCGACACCTCATTGCTATGATGATAACATTAACTATGTTATTAGTTAATTAAACACAAATGGAATCAAATTTGCAACAAAAAATTAAACCAAAGGAAAGGCAGTAAGGGGTAAAACAGAAAGAAGAAATGCTGTAAGACATATAGAAAGTAATTAGCAAAATAGCAATACTAAGTCCTTCCCTATCTGTAACCCCTTGAAATATAAACGGCTTAACTCCCCCATAAAAAGACAGATTGGCAGAATGGATTAAAACAAACAGGATCCTGGCCGGAGCAGTGGTTCACGTCTGTAATCCTAGCACTTTGGGAGGCTGAGGCAGGTGGATCACATGAAGTCAGGAGTTCGAGGCCAGCCTGACCAAAATGGTGAAATCCCATCTCTACTAAAAGTACAAAATTAGCCAGGCGTGGTGGTGCATGTCTGTAATCCCAGCTACTTGGGAGGCTGAGGCAGGAGAATCACTCGAACCAAGGAGGTGGAGGTTGCGGTGAGCCGACATCGCGCCATTGCACTCCAGCCTGGGCAACAGTGAGATGCCATCTCGAAATAAATAGAGAGAGAGCAAGAGAGAGCGAGAGCGAGAGAGAGAGAGAGAGAGAGAGAGACGGAGGGAGAGGGAGAGAGAGAGAGAAAAAATAAAAGTATGTGGTTTACAGGAAACTCACTTTGGCTCTAAGAACACTCATAGGTTAAAAGCAAAGAAACAAAAAAAGTAAACCCATGCAAAAATAACCAAAAGAGCAAAGGTACCTACATAACCTGGGCATCACTAATCCAAAACTCCAAAATCGGAAACTTTCTGAGTGCTGACACGATACCACAAGTGGATGATGAAGATGAAGATGATGATGTTACCAATGCAAAAAGGTATCTATAGACCACGTGGTGAAAATGTGTGATGGGCTTATTAAAGGACTGGAGCAGCATGCCTTCATAACAGAACAAGAAATTATGACAGTTTATAAAATCAGAGACTTCTCGGACAAAAAAAAAACAGTTAGTGAGGCAGATGGTTCCGGAGGAAACATTTTAAAAAGCCATCTAGCAAAATGCCTCCTCATCCCTTGAGGATCCAATTCCTGGCCCCTCAACTGCTTCTAATGTTTCTTCTCACTTAAAAAAAAAAAAAAAAGTACATTCTACAGTTACCTTTTAATCAAAACACAGCATTGTAGGTGGAGACTGAAAGCCTGCCTGTCACTGTTTGTTGTTGCTGCTGTTTAACAGTGGATACAGATATTCCCTACTGTGCTGCTTACTCACCCTAAACACATTATATTTTCACTGAATTAATGGTACCTCATATTTCTTACTGTTAAGAACTTATGTGTGAACAATGTAAGAAAATGATTGCTTATCAGCATATAAATTCAGTCAGGAATAATGATGATGCCAAACGACCACAGACTGTCTACACGGGTGGCTGAGATAGTGACACCTTTCCTTTCTGATGGCTGAAGGTACATAAGCTTTGTTTCATGCAGAAAATTATTCAAAATATGGTATAAAATTATCTTTGGGCTATGTGTACAATGTATATTTGAAACATAAATGAATTTTGTGTTAGACTTGGGTCTCATCCCCAAGATATCTCATTATGTAAATGTACATATTCTAAAATCTGAAGGAAAAAAAATTCAAAATCCAAATCACTTCAAGCATTTCAGATAAGGTATATTCAGCCTATATACTAATATTAGACATATAAACTTTAAGTCAAAATCTGTTACAAAAAACAAAGAAGGGCATTATATAATGATAAAACCAACACTTCACTAAAAAGATGTAACAATTATAAACATGAATGCACCAAACATCAGACCAGCAAAACATATGAAGCAAACACTGACAGAATTGAAGAGAGAAATAGATAGTACTATATTAATAGTAGAAGGCTTCAATACCCCACTTTCAGTAATGGATGGAACAAACACACAGAAGATTAATAAGGAAAAATAGGACTTAACACTATTGACCAACTGGACCAAAAGACATAGACAGAACACTTTACCCAACAACAGCAGAATACACATTTTTCTCAAGTGCACATGGGACATTCTTCAGGATATATGTGAGGTCACAAAACAAGTGTCAAAATTTTTGTAAAGAGAAAACATACAAATGGTCAACAGATATATATATGAGAAAAGGCTCAACATCACCAATCATCAGATAATAAAAATCAAAACCACAAGAAGATATTACCTCAATCTATTAGAATGGCTATCATCAAAAAGACAAAAAAATAACAAATGCTGGTGTGACTGTGGAGAAAGGGAAACTCTTACACACTGTTTTTGGGAATATAAATTAGTACAGCCATTATAAAACACAGTACAGAAGTTCTTCAAAAAATTTAAAAATAAAATTACCATATGATCCATCAATCCCACTAATGTATAAATATCCCAAAGAAATGAAATCAGTTTGTTGAAAAGAAACCTGCACTTTATGTTTATTGCAGCACTTTTCACAAAAGCCAAGATATGAAATCAATCAAGTGTCTACCAACAGATGCACTGGTAAAGAAAATGTGATACACACACACACACACACACACACACACACACACACACACATAATGAAATACTATTCCCCATTAAAAAGAAAAAGAATAAAATCTTGTCCTTTGCGGGAACACAGATGCACCTGGAGGACATAATGCTAAGGGAAATAAGCCAGGCACAGAAGGACAAATACTGCATGATCTCACTCACCAATGTGAAATCTAAAAAAGTTGACATCTTAGAAGTAGTGTATAGAATAGTGGTTGCCAGAGGCTGGGGAATATTGGCGAGAGGGGAAATAGGTACAGATGGGTCAATGAGAACAAAGTTACAGTAACAAGGGAAGAATAAGTTCTGGTGTTCTATTGCACAGCAGAGTGACTACAATTAACAATACTGTATTGCATGTTTTAACATACCTAGAAGGAGGATTTTGAATGTCCTCACAAGGAAATGATAAATGTATAAGGTGATGGATATTCCAAATACCAATTTGATTTTTATACAATGTAGACATGTATTGAAATATCATCCTGTACCCAATAAATATGCACAATTAATACATGTCAATTAAAAACAAAATTGTAAAATTATAGAAGACTGACATCATGCAGGGTATCTTTTCTAATAATAATAAATAAAATAAATAAGGAAATAAATAACAGATGAAAACAGAACAATGCACAAATGTATGGAAATTAAGCACTCTTAAACAAGAAATGGGTCAAAAAGGTAATCTCAAGAAAAATTAGAAAATATCTTGAGATGAAAATAAAAACAGACTGTACCATCATAATTAGTATGATACAGCAAAAGCAGTGCTAGAAGGGAACATAAAGCTGTAAATGCTTATGTTTAAAAAGAAAAAACATCCCAAATCAATAACCTAAATCTATTCCTTAATAGGGAAAAAAATACAAAATCCAAACCTAGCAAAAGGGAGAATATAATAAACATTAGAGCAAAGATAAGTGAAAGAGAATGGAAAAAAAATAAAAAAAAAAAAAACAAGCATTAGTTTTCTTTTCTTTTCTTTTCTTTTTTTTTTTTTTGAGATGGAGTCTTGCTGTACCACCCAGGCTGGAGTGCAGTGGCACGATCTTGGCTCACTGCAACCTCCGTCTCCTGGAATCAGCGATTCTCCTGCCTCAGCCTCCTGAGCAGCTGGGATTACAGGGGCCTGCCACCATGCCCAGCTAATTTTTGTATTTTTAGTAGAGACGGGGTTTTGTCATGTTGGCCAAGCTGGTCTCAAACTGCTGACCTCAGGTGATCCACCCGCCTCAGCCTTCCAAAACGCTAGGATTACAGGCGTGAGCCACTGCACCCGGCCACCGACCATTCGTTTTCTAAAAAGATCAATAGGCTGGGCACGGTGGCTCATGCCTATGTAATGCCAGCACTCTGTGAGGCCAAGGCGGGTGGATCATGAGGTCAGGAGATTGAGACCATCCTGACTAACACGGTGAAAACTCCACCTCTACTAAAAATTCAAAAAATTAGCCGGGCGTGGTGGCAGGCGCCTGTAGTCCCAGCTACTCGGGAGGCTGAGGCAGAAGAATGGCATGAACCTGGGAGATGGAGCTTCCAGTGAGCTGAGATCGCACCACTGCACTCCAGCCTGGGTGACAGAGCGAGACTCTGTCTCAAAAAAAAAAAAAAAAAATCAATAAAATTGATAAGGCTTTAACTAGTTTGACTAAGGAAAAAAAGAGAGGAAAGTCAAATAACTAAAATCAGAAATGACAGAGATATTACTATCTATTTTACAGAAATAAGGATTATGAAAGTACTACG